ATGCCCCGATGGGAGGGAAAGCTCACGGTCATGGCTACATATTTGGGATCTCTCCCGTTTACTTGGACTTCTACCCTGCCCACCCCACCCCAGCAGCATAAATTACTTGCAAATAATTTATACTGATTTCTTCAAGTATTCCTATAAATATTTGAACATTTTTTGTTGGTTTCTGATTCCATAAAAAAAATTAAAAAAAAAAATTTTAGAGCAGTTTTAAGCTCTAAATAAGCATCGAATTCCATTCTGAGCCTGATTTTCCCACTCTCTGAATTTGAACCAAATCATTCTAGTATGACTTTTAAAATAAAACCATGCTAATAGGCAAAAGCAGATCCTTCTCCTAAAGCTAAAATTTGTTTCATGTCTCCTTACTAGACAAAGCTTCATGAGGACAGGCTTCTAATCTGATTTAGTCACCCCTGTGTTCTCAGTACTCACCAGTACCTGGCACACAGGCACTTAATGTTTGAATCAATCGATTTTTTTTTTAAAGTAAACTCTACCCCAACATGGGGCTGGAACTCACGACCCCGAGATCAAGAGTCACATTGCCCCACCGACTGAATCAGTTAGGTGCCCCATGAATCAATGAATTCTTAATCAAAGGCTCATACTGTATAGCCCTCAAGAGTACCAGATTTTCTCAAACTTTTTCTGTGTCTTAACCACCACAATACTGATAGTGCAATGAAGAAAAATCTAATAAACATCTAGAAACCATTTTCTGGTACTCCCAATGCAAAAAAGCCCTATTGGAATTTTTCCATCTAGGGAAATCTAATGATTTGGTGCAGGATAATTCTGAATCGAAGGTGAGTCTTAGGACCACTCCATGCACGCCCTCTATTTTTAGGAAGGCCATTTTCAAACTTTCTCCCTGATATTTCCACTTTCACTCCCCACCAAAACGTGATGCCTCTGCTACTTGGAGAAACTAAGGCACAAGAGAAAATCAAGTACTTCAAAGGTTTACCCCTAAAATCTTAACTCAACGAACTCCTAGGAACACCTCACTAACACTGAGGGACCTCTAAGATACAGAGCTTGAGCCATGAATTTTCATTTCCACAGTTCTCAAGGACACGCTTTAAATTTACTTGGTCTTTGAGGAATTGGCGTTTTTAATTCTTCCAGGAAAAAAGCTATTTTATGGAACTCCCAAAATGTTAACATTCATCTTCTAGGAAGGGAAACTCTTGATAACGGTTTCTTTCTAACTCAGCCACAGACTATACTAAGTAGCCAAATTCAAAGGAGAAATTTGGCTTTTTGGTATTTGTGCTAGAGATTGGAAGAATGCATAATCTAGTTAGCTTCTCTTAGACTATGTTACCGGTAATAACAAGTTTGAAATACACAGCAGTTCAGTTATGCTGCCTGCTCTCACTGCAAGTGGCAAACAGGTAGGAAAAGGAAATCAGATGCACTGCAACTTCCCTGGCTGGTTACCGGCAAGGCTGTTTTTATATACATGGTGGGATAAAAGCCACCGTACGTGGAGGATATATCTGTAAATAGAAAAACTGCTTGCTTTTCATTCTATGTAAAATTAACTGTAGGCTATTTGTCAATCACACATGTATATATACATATGAGCTGATGGTTAACCCAATGAAGTTTTTATGGCTTTTACTAGAGAGAGAAAGCTGTGCTAAGGGAAGAACAGGCAGATTCCAGTTTTAACTGGTTATCAGAATTGGTGACACAAAGTCTCATGTGTCTTTCCATTTTTATGCAACCCTCTTGCTAGAGAAATGCTTTGGACAAAAAAAAAAAAAAAAAAAAACACGGGCTGTGTCTTCCTTTAGTACATATGGAGACAAGGAGCGCTGGGAGGTTTCATAGGCTCCAAGGCAGACCAGTTTTAACACCCACCCACCATCTGTCCCATTCTCTTTGCCAAGCCACTGGTAATCTTTAGATGTTAACGCCTAAAGCCCAAACTGAGGGATGAAGGCCGCCGGCTGGGGCCCGGGGGGCCTACACAGGTACAAGTGGAAATCCTTCTTCCCAGCTTCAATGGGCAAAATCTACAGCTGTGTTAGGCACAGCTGTCTGGTCACCAAGCACATTCCTACCCATGGAAACCAACTGAAGGTAAACCGCAGAAGGCCTCCAGGAAGGACAACCTTCTCCTCTCTCTGGTGAGTAAACAGAGACCACCCTTGGAGGGGAGCACTGACCACAGAACCGTCCGTTACCGGTTACGGCAAAGAAGCTATCCAGTAAGGTGGCCCGTTACTGTTGATGGCTGGCCAGGATCAGTTCTGTTGGCAACCAGAGGAGTTCACAATGATTCTACCTCATTTTTAGAGAAGTTAATCTCGAATCTCTGCACTTTTAGTAAAACTGACAAAGTTCACTAGTGTCGTGTTCCTTAATTCCCTTTGTGTTTTAAGAACTGCGTGATTTAAAATTATTCAAAATCCTAATAATGGCAGCTACTTTACGTTCATACGAATGATGGGACAGGAAAATAAAGTTTTAAAGATCCGAAGCAATTGTACACTGAAAAATAAATGATGAAAAAGGACAAGGCTATCTGGCAAGAGGGTTCAGCTCCTAAGGAGAATACATATACAACTATAGGCCTATTCGATTTTCTCCTAAAAATAAATATACATACGTAAAAAGCGATTGTAATCAAACCTTTTCCACACTGATATTCTGTATTCTACCTAGGATGGATTCCCAGATCTCCGCACTGTGAAAATTCAGTGGCCAAGCCGCTGAGCAGTGCGCCACTGCTCAGAAAGACTAGGAGGCCCGTCTTCACCCAGAAGGCCTCTTGGGAGGAGTCTGTTGTCACTGATAACTTCCCCCACCTCACATCCACCCCACTTTATAACCCTAAAGATTTATTAGCTTAGAATAAATTCCCAGTTACCACCCGTAAAGCAAATACGGGGGCCACTGCATTGCTACTGGATTTTGCTTCCCTCATAGCACCAACTACTTAATTATGGTCGCAGCTCTAAGAGTCGGTTGACAGAAATCCTACACGCAGTTTCCTAGTGCATCTTATGTCTTTGGTGTGGGGCAGGCAAAAGGGTCTGCAGCATGTGATTGTCTCAAAGAACATCTTAAAGACAACCTGGCTGACCTGCTGTTCGGAGCGCCCACGTGAAAACGGTAAACCACAACTCCTTCTGCCAACCATTTCCCAACTTCGGAGGATCATGATGAATCTATGTGACTTTCCGCCACATCACTGAAGACTCACAACATACATACAAACGTCACAGCAAAAAGAAAAGAAGACGGAATAGGACAGAAGAGAAAGGTCTCTAAGTGCCCCCAAATGAAAATGTCAAAAACTCCTGAGATATGAGCCTCCGTTTTGATTGTGCTCAATGACTTGAATTTTGAAAGAAAGAATAAGCTTGCAAAGAGAGTAAGACTTCACACAAAATCATTTAACACTAAGTTCACGAACCACCCTTTCGAAGCATCTGTTTCAAACACATTGCAAACTCTAGCTTGGAATCAGGAGTCATTCTCAAAATTCTTTTCAATAAAACCAAGATTTCAGATTCCTGCTGGGTACATAAGATAATTTATTTTCTGGGAAAAACTACCTAAAATCTATCCAGTAGGATTATTGCACAGTGGGGCCCACAGGACAATGATTTCCAAGGGCTAGTCCTCATATAAAAAAAGGCCACAATAAATACATCTATCTACTATGCCCCACTCTACCTTGACACGGTAAACACAAATGTGACGCCGCCTGCTTTAAAAAAGAAACTCCTGAGGAAAGAAAGGGATGGAAATCTCTACCAAGGCCACTTGAGTCAGAAACTGCCATTACTATTTCCATTGCCGTAAAGGCCACTCACCAAACAGGCTGACCATTCCAAGCACCAAGATGAACCAGCGACAAGGTTATCACACTTCACGATATCTCACTCCGATCGCGGCTCACACTGAGCTTTGGAAGCACTTCCCAGTAGATGAGCTTAGAAAGGAAATGAACTGCAGGCAAATCAACCCCTTAGCAGAAGTTCATTGTTGGTCGCTAAGGGTTGAGGTGAGATCAGTAAGATGCTCGCAAACCCACTCTCTAGTAAATTCCAGCGTTTAGGCCATTATTTTTCACTCCCGGTCCTTGAAACATCACCAAACATTTGCAAACAGAATTACACGCTTTTCCCTTTTCTGTCTGGGTAGCACCACGTTCCATTCTGATGTTGATTCCCCCCCCCACCCCAAAATACTTGGCAATCCATGCAGCAGCCTGTCGCGCACAGAGCAGCCCAAGTTTTAAATCCTCCCAACTCACCCCATAAAACTGCCAAATCCTAACCACACAAATAAAAACATACCACTCTAGGAGAGATCACTCAATTATTCTTCAACTTCCTCTTATAACTGATGCACCACCAATACACAGAGCACTAAGTGTAATTCCAAACACCACACCATGTGATCAAGTTTGTAAATGGACAATTGAGCCAACAAGCCATACCCTGCCTACAGCACAGACACAGCCAAAGTGGGAAGGTGATCTGCTTTCAGCTGCATGGGGGGTAGGGTTTCTCATGGCTTCTGCTTTTTAAAGCACTCACTCTCATTCTAAAATGGTATGCTATACACAAAACCATCAATTTTATTCCAGAATACATCATCTTGATAATAAAAAGCTTTTGTATGCACATACTGCCAATACATTTAAAAGGCCCAAATTTTAACAAATAGAATAGACAAATTCATCAGACAAGAGATAAGTTACTTTGGCCGAAAAAAATCTTTAAAAAAAATCTGGCTCAACATTCTGCTTGCAGGTCTCTACATATACTGTGTACGTGGTGAGAGAGAGAGAGAGAGAGAGAGAGAGAGAGAGAGAGAGAG